CCCCAAAACCCCAAAACCCCAAAACCCCAAAACCCCAAAACCCCTTAATAACTTATTTTAAAAAGATTAATTATATTTTGCAAATAACATAAAATGAAAAAAATAAGCCCGTTATCTACAGATCCTCCTGAAAACCTCCCTAGACTCCCAAATTCTTCCTGCTCCAACCATGACAGAGAAAGCTCTCATTCAAAAACGTAAGTATCCCTCTTAATTCCCCTCTTTAAAGCTCAAAACTAACATTATCCTATAGAAGCTCAGAAGATCGAGGTAAATCCCCTAAATTTCTAATAATCCCCCAAAATATAGAAGCTTTAGCTAGTCTAATTTTTTATTTAATTTGTTCTATAAGATTTCTTTCCTTATAAACAGAATCCTTTGAATTTCCCAGCTTAAATGGCATCATCTAAATATGTTAGTTTAGTCTAAAATAACAGAGTTAATATTTATGTAGAGTCTAAAGTTAACAATGTATCAAACCAACAAAAAGAACAAGAGAATAAGAGGAAGAAGGTCAGCATTTTGAGTGATAAAAGAAGGTCTAGCCCTCGGAAAAGTATTATTCATGGGAACTTTAATTCCTTCAATTGGGCTAAAAATGTAACCACCCTTCCTCCAATCTCTAATGCTCCAAAACTCGCAAGAATGGATAACAATAAGGCAATGGAAACAAGGATCCCTATTGATGAATTATCTGAGCACAAAGAGAATTCATGCCCAGATCATGACAGAAGTGAGATGAATCTTGTACACAATAACGGTCCTCAAGTTCTGTTAGAGAGCCAGTACCAGGCAAATACATCTTTTCATGATCAAAAGGTAGCCATCGTTGATAAACTCGAAATGTTCTCTGAACATGGAGTGGATGGCAGTGAATCTGATTTTAAAAACCAAAGATGAATTTTCCGTGCACACGCAGGAAACCGGCTTAAATGGGAAATATTCATAATATTTCTTGCTATATGGAATGGATTCTCCATCCCATTTAGTGTTGCCTTTTATGAAGAAGATCAGGAAAATATTGGATGGCTGATCGTTAATAGCTTCACAGACTTTTTATTCTTTATAGATGTTCTAATTAATTTCAGAACAACTTATATGGATGAAGCAACCTCTGAGGAAATATTTGATTCTAGGTTAATAGCCATTCAATATCTGAAAGGCAGATTTTGGGTAGATATGGTTGCAAGTATTCCTTTTGATCTCCTTGCAAGGCCTTTTTTCTCAAAAGACGGCGATAGTACAGTGTTTCAAATGCTAGGAATATTGAAACTAATTCGAATATTAAGATTATCTAGACTTATCAGTTTCATGAATCTCAAAGATGACGTGAAAATGTCTCTCAAGTTATTAAGATTATTGTTCTTCATTATACTATATATTCATTTTATCGCGTGAACTCTATTTTTCTTCAGAAAGGAAAACTCTTGGCTGCCTCCTCTGGAATATGGGTGGAAAGATGAAGATTTATTTCAAGCTTCTAGTAGTAGACAATACTCTACATCACTGTATCACTCAATGCTGGTATTAGCAGGCAATGATATCGCTCCTGCATCTGATTTATCTTTCTTCTTACAAACAGCCTTACTCTTGATATCTTCAATAATCAATGCTAGTATTTTCGGTAATATTGCAGTGTTACTCCAGCAGCTTAATCTTAAAGCAGCTCATCTGCAAGAGAAGGTAGAAAATGCTAATTCAACAATGAAATCTCTCAGAATCCCTGAAGACATTCAGAAAGAAGTCATGAAATACATCTTAAATACCCATAACAACCTTGAACAACAGAATGAGTTGGATACCTTTCTGTTACAACTGTCACCTTCTTTGCAGCAGATTATTAGAAAATCAATACTGAAAGATGTGATCAGTCAGAATAATGTCTTTGCTAGTTTAGAAGGAGCTATTGCCTTCATACTCAGAGACCTTTCAATCCTCCTTTTTCAACCTGAAAGTATCATCATTAGGCAAGGAGATGATGCCAAAGAGATGTACTTTATAGCTAATGGAGAATGAGCTGTCTATGTCAATGATAAAAATAAAGGTGAAATTCAAGTTAACCAAATCAAGGAAGGAGACTACTTTGGTGAAGTTGCTCTCATCAAGGACTGCAAAAGAACAGCCACTGTAAAATAGCCTATACTGCACTACACTTGCTGGGTATCACAAAGATAGACTCTCTGAACTTTTTGAGAAAAATATAACACTATTAAAAAGGATGGAGAAAAAGATTCATAAAAATTATCAAGATAAATGGAAAAAGTTCATGATTACTGCCTTAAGAAACATAGAATTTCTTGAAACCTCAAATATTTCAGATGAAACTATTGAAGAGATCACTTACAAGGTCAACACAGTGAGTTATTCTGCAGGCTCGTATTTATTCAAACAAAATCAAAGATGAACTGATATCATTATCGTTGCAAGTGGAGGTAATTTTTCTAACTATCTTTAGAAGTAATAATCTCAATAAATAACAACCAACTGTATGATATCAAGCTCGACATTCTCTACCCAGGATGAACAATTGGGTCTTACAGCCTGCTAAATCAAGATGACCATTGAATATCTGCTATGGCTAAAACAGATTGTTCAGTGATCTTAATAAACTACAGATTATTGGATTTAATCAGTAATACTTTTGAAAAAATCGGCCGATCTATTGAAGATACGTTTGATTATATCAAAGAAAATGGGCTTCCTTTCTTAGATTACAGAATGTACAGAACTAAATAAAATGAGCACAACTCCAAAACAGAAGTTCAAAAATGGAATATCCAGAATTTTAAAAATTGTAAAATCATACAAGATTAATGACTTCCAAGGATTGTTAATGGGGCACCGCAAAATGCTACTTGAAAACAAGAAAAAGCATGCAAATTCTCTGAAAGCTAAACAAAGCGAACAATTAAGATTTATTAAAGATGAAACTGCCATGACTAATGTAAAGATGAATACCATCTTGGAAATGGTCTCTAGGCAAACTGATCATGTTTGTGATCTTCAGAAAGAAATCAAGAGGCTAAGAGCTCTTATTGATCCAGAGAAGCTTGAAATATCTCAGAAAGGTTCAAAGGAAGGGTCCGTAGCAAGTAGTAGTGATGATACTTCATCTATTCTTACAGATCAAGAATACTGAAAGCTCAAGAAAGCATATAATAATCGAAAATATGCTTCTGAAATTGTGAACAATGTTGAAGAAGAGAAGAAAAGTTTCATTCAGAAGAAGTCTACCACAAGAGGGCTTGATTTTAGCATGTACAGTAGAAAGAAGTAAGAAATTTATTTACAAAAGTATAATTCTTTTTAGAAGCCTCAGTGCTAACAATTCACTAGATGTCCTCAGTCATGGTGAATTAAATCAAATGGTAAATCTTGGATGTATGATCATAAAATAGACCGATTACCAAGCCAAGGACTCCAAACCTCTAAGGTGATCAACATTTTTGGATAAGTCCATTGAGAAATTGGATAGTTTTGAGAAGAAGTGAGCATATATTCTTATCCCTCTAGAATTGACTATCTTCCTACTTCAGCCAAACGCTATCTCGATAATGAAGTAAGAGGATTGGAGATTAGCAATTTCTCTTCCTCTTCAAAGTCAGCTTCCTACAAAGATGGTTAGAAATTAATTGTGGCTTGAAAGATGTCTGAAAGATGATTCAGACAAATGGAAAATAATATTCCATAATTTGGTACCAATTTTATACCTCCTACATGGGGTTTTGGGGTTTTGGGGTTTTGGGGG